AACGCGGTTACATACGGTATTCGTACGAAGGACTACCATATGTCATGTTATGTACACGATATTCCTACGACTAATGGCAATTTTTCAAATGTATACATGTAATTAAATTCTTATAGAGTAAAAGGAGAGTTGTCTGCAATTATTAAACATCATAGTTAAGTTACTTGATAAGGGTAAAAGCTACAGTTTGGAGCTTTTGAATACGTTCAATCTTTTCATGAATTTTAAAACGGTCTTTATAAGCTTCTCTGATACATGCATTTTCAGTTTATTTCACTTTTTTCTTCTATTTTAGGCGGTATTTTGATTGCAACTGTGTTAACATCAGACAACGTATGTCTAGATCGTATCAACTCTTGTTATATCGCACAGTGCTCGTACAGCACTTGCAACCATTCGTTCCTTTTCGTATACTTTCGCAGGAAAATCGTACTATACGTCCCAATCGATACGTAGAACAATCGCAGTAAATCGAATGACACTCGCAGTAACTCGAGGGACACATGCACGAACAAACTCGAAGGACACTCGAAGTAACTCGTAGGACTCTCATAGTGTCGCGTGTACTACGAAGTACCGCGAATGTCGCACGATCTTCGAAGATTTACTAGGAATAAGTGTATGAGTGCAGTGCGGGTGCCGTGCGATTGTCTACGAATAATAAAAAAAAATCTGTGTCCAAGATTGTTTTGAACATGATCAAAACAATCGCCTTGTATGGCGATTTGCTGCGATCCAACACAATTAAGGAAGATATCCTACAACTACCTCTACGAGAAATCTCGATTTGCTGCGATTTTTGAATCCGTGATGAATCGTAGCTGTAAATCGTGAGTGTGACAGGGGCTTAAGATATATAAGTAAAATTTATTAAGAATTTTTCACAGGAAGGAAGGTTATGACCAAAAAATCCTTAAATACTGTCAGGGTCTGCATGATAATTCAAATTATGAGTTCTAACCATGCATCATACATGCAGTGCAGAATGTTACTTAGCACCATGGCATGCCTGTTGTGGTTCTTAGGACTTTATTCATGCTCTCGCAGCTGACATTCATATTTTTTCAGTTTGGTGGAGACTGTTTTTGTTATTTTTTCATTTATATGTAGGTGTTGGCTGCCACTTTTGAATAAGTCTCAGTCAGTGATGCTTACATGATCATGATCTATTTAGTTTATCAATGTACTAAAATATTAATACATGTAAATTGCAAATTTAACTAATGAAGAAATTTGGCATATTAACATAATTAAAATATCAGAATAACTATAATTCAGCTAATTAATAAAGTGCACTTTTCTTCTCAAATCATTTCCTATAAATTTTATCAGCAGTTTTTAGCTCACCTGAGCCGAAGGCTCAAGTGAGCTTTTCAGATCAAAATTTGTCCGTTGTCTGTCGTCGTTGTCGTTGTCATTGTTCTCGTTGTAAACTTTTCCCATTTTCGTCTTCTTCTCAAGAACCACTGGGCCAATTTCAACCAAACTTGCCACAAAGTATCCTTGGGTGAAGGGGATTCCAGTTTGTTCAAATGAAGGGCAAAGCCCTTTTCCAAGGGGAGATAATGATGGATTAATGATAAATTAATGGAACCTTTTTTAAAAAAATCTAGATTCAATTTTGTATAATTTTTATAATATATGTAAACTTTTCAATACTGAACTAATTTTTGCTTTCACCTAACCAATGATCAGGTGAGCGAATGTGGCCCCTGGTCTCACAGAATCATGGAGGATGTCCTAAACTGGTCTCCGTGACGCATTTTGTCACATATAAAAGTGTTCAAACTCATAAAAATGTTTAATATTTATATTCTAAAATAAAATGTTTATTTCTTATGTACATTTGGTGAAACAAAAAGAGATAATCTTGCATAAAGCATGGAAATTCATTAAACACCTTTGGAATTCCTGAGTTAATCCATGAAAAGAGAATAACTATGCATGTTCAATTGAAATTTCATGGCTAATTTGTGTCTTAGGAGAAAGCGAGTTACATAAATCACAATAATAAATTACATCTGAATTGTTGTCTCTGTTTTCTTATCATCAATGCCAATTTTATGGAATAATCCAAATGGTATGAATCAAAGGAAGGGATCCGTTTCCTCCCTTTTGTTTTGGACATTCCTTCAGCTATTCTTGGATTTTTTTCTTAGTAATATTGTTCTATCCAAGCATGAATGTAAAGAATTAGACAAAAGGTTTATAATACCATTTATAGGCAGTGGAAGATAAAGTTGCATGGCTGTCATATCTGGATTTCCATCAATAACACAAAAAAGTGTTCTGATATTGACTGATATATAAATACATTATAGTTCTTGACATTTTAAATCAGTTGTTTCATACCTTTAAATGTTTTTCAAGCACACAAGCTATGTCATATGTGACATGGATTTTTGTGTGGACTGGATGTGTTTGGAGAATGTGCTGAAGCAGAAAGATAGGGTATCCGAGCCTGTCAAGAAAGGAAAATTATCTGCACAAATTTAGGCATTAAATTAAAGTAAATAGTACAGGAGAACCTGTTTATTCTGACAAACACATACACATTGGTTTGTTATATAAAAGTCAATCTCAACTATCAACAGTACATTTTTCATATGACAAATTGAAAATATTTTAGCACTTATTCTGTAAATTATTGTTTAAGCAAATTAATTTTCTGAAGTTAATCTAATAAACACAGTGTTCGCGTAATACTAAAGAATGTACAAACCTTTCTCCATGACGAAGGCTAAAGAATGCATGAGGAAATTCATGACGACATACAGAACCAAAAACAGCAATTAATTACTCGCGTATAATAAGGAATCTACAGTATCAAGGAAACAAATACACTATGTTACTTGAAATACACCTCATTTTTTCTTTAATGTAGATATTTATCATTATAGAAATAAGCATACTATATCGCTATTTACACATCTCATTTCTTCTTCAATGTAGAAATTTATCAATGAAATAAGCATACTAATTTATTATTTACATTTTCACTACTTCTTTAATGTAGAGATGCATTTAGGTACTTACTTCGATCCTCAGCTAGGAAAAATTAATATTCTTTAATTTATAATTCAATTCAAAAAGTCTCAAAATCAAGCTTGAAAATTAAATCTTTTCATTCAACAATTTTCATTTTATATCTCTTAATGTGCTCTAAGGTTTTTTGAAGTTCTCAGAAAGGTCTTATAAGTCGTTTTTTTTTTTACCTATAAAAGTATTTTAAAAATACATATTTAAAGAAATTGAGATTCATTTTAATCTATTCGTAGATATGCATGTTTTAACATGACGGGGGCATCAGTGTTTCACAAACACATCTTGTTTCCATATCAGTTGTTTCTCTCTTTAGATAAGTTTATTTATCAATGCATCTGACCAATTGTTTTTAAAAAATGTAGTCCAGATAACACAATTATGTATTTATCTTTCTTACAGTTATATAAATGATAATCCTTTTCACTGTGATTGCGAGCTGAAAGGCTTTGTCAGATTTCTGAAATCAAAAAGGAATATTTTATCCGGGGACGACCCAGAATGTGCTTCTCCTGGCGACTTGAAAGGAACTCTGCTCACCAATCTATCAGTATCAAGCTTGACGTGTCTTCCGAAGGACATTATAACCACACATCAAAAAAATGATGCTGAGATGGGAACATCGTCCTTGACTAGATCTCTGACTACGTCTTCTCCGAATGATGCTGTTGTATTAACCACCTCAGAAAAAAAAATATTGTAGGTTTATTCTACAGTTTTACAGAATAATTGCATAAACAAATGAATAATAATAACGAAAATTGAACGAAAGGTATTTGAGTTAATCATAATGAATATTAATTACTTCAGTAATATCTTTCTCTAGCATTTATAGTTCATAATTTATGAAAAAATTATGGAGCATAATTATTTAACATGTATCTGACGATTAAATAAATATTTCTTCATCTATAAATGCACATTGACCCATATTAAATATGCATTTCAAAAAAGGTTGATTACTAGTCTACATGTAAGTACACATTAACTGTACATATCAGTACCAAATCTCATCTTAATATATCCATTAACCATTTAAACTTTTATCAACTCAGCATAAAGACACGCTGTATACATTATAAAAGGCAATGAAAATGACAAAAGCTAATGAAAACGTTTTAACATATCTTTATTCTGATTTAACTTGCAAGATTTACCTTATTATTACTGCCCCTATAAAAAAATGAACAGAAGAATGAAGATAAAATTGTATGTGATCGTCAACAATATCGACTTTCATAGTTTTAAAATAGTAAGTATTGTTATAAAAACTTCGATGATTTGTAGTATAGAATTCGACACTGGAAATGAACATCCACTCTCTGTCGTTTGTTTTACCTCAGTCGACTTATTTATTGAACACGTAATAATTACGACCATAAAACCACGCCAGAAGATCACAAAAATTGTAGGTTCCGAGTTCTTTTGCTTTCATATAATAAGTCCACCCAATGGTAAGTATTAAATCTGTGTTTTTGTATTGAAATAATTCTGCTTCTTGTAGACTTACCAAGAATCATTTTTGTTCATTTGCTTATGAATCAAGCTAATTATTTATTTATGTCGTAGACAAGACTAAACAGACGTCATTCAAGAAGTTTTTATTGATAATAGTTTATATTTCTTTCACATCTATTTTTCTAAAGATTCCCAACTTTGACACCAAACAGTATGAGAGACGATTGATACATCTCTTCCTGTAGTATTTCAAGAAACTGGGTCCTTGTTAAATGTATCATCACCACTTTTCCATAGACATGGTAAACGGTTACCCTATCCTCAAAATTTCCGACCCCATGACTTATGTTAAACTTTTGAATTGCGATCTGCGTTCTAGAATGCAGTTTACTGTGTTCTTTATTAAGATTTAGATTATGTGAATACAACAATATTACGCACAAGGTATGTTTTAGTGGTTCGTGTTTCTTTGCTCCTATTTTGTATTACATGTATTTAATGGACTTCTGATCTTGAATACTGTTCGTTATCTCCATATGTGTCTTGGAATTAATATATTACAACGGGCATTGTCAATTATGATTCCCTGCCTTCTCTTACATGTTTCATGACTTCAAGAACTTTTATTTCTCCCTATAACCTTATAGATGTCCTTTACTCCTTCATAAACATCAATTTATCACCTTCTTATCCATCACAACCAAAATCATTTATTAGTTTGTGGAACGTGGCTTAGGAGATTTGTTCGTGCAAAAGGATAACTTTTTGGAAACAGATGGTATAGTCCCCGTAGGGAATATTGTTTGCTTTTTCTTTAAATATTGCTCATATTCTCTCTTTTTTCTCTTTCACCGATTACTTTGACATAACAACGTTATATTCTTCTGACTCTTTGATTATCATGGATATTTATAGAAATTTCAAAGCTTTAACAGTTGTCCTGTTTATACAGTTCGCCAGAATATTTGGAAAAGAAACCGCTTTCGGTGAGTATTTGTGGGATTTTAATCGAGTCAAATGGAATTCTAAGCTATGCATTGCTTCCGATTTAACATTCCAAATAAACCTAGAACTATACTCTTCAAAACAATTTTGCACTACCATTGCATTTTTGGCGTTAGATTTTGATGTACCGGTGACAATTTTAACTGTATTCATTTGGTAAAATTTGATTAGACCCTAATCTCGAAATGCCCTTCTAAAAATCAATAGATGCAGTCAAATGTAAGTCTATATAATATTAGTTCTATAGTTAAAAAAAAATTGAAAGCCCTTCTTTTTAAAGAACTCCCTCTTACAAAATCATAATTTTGTTGCTTATTAAATAAAAAAAAAATGGTTCAAAAAGGAGATGTATGTTTCCGATATTATATAAAACTTTCCTGAAGATAATAAAATGATATAAAGAATTGTGATAGGAAATAAAATTCAATTATTGATATAAGATTAATATATTTTCTCGAAAATTCAGCTAAACGATCATTCCTTTTAAAAAACATCGTAACTTCATTTAGAAAAATATTTTCGATCAAGGCCGACCCTTTCGCTTTGGGCCCAGGTACTGTTCACATTTGTGTGATTTCGATGTATTGGGATTGAAAGCCTAGAGTTTCAAATGCTTTGTTCGTAAAAACAGGAAGCAGGATATGTGAGCACCTTTGAAAAATCTTGACGTTAAAAAGGATTTTCCCCTCCTCGTATATATTCATGTAAAAGAGTGGAATATAGATATTCTAACGATACACGAATAATATAGCGTTTAAAACAACTTACACCCTGGAAAACAATGACGATTTAGTGCAATTTTTGCTAATTATCACAAACTTGTATCAATTGGGAAAAAAGAAGATAAGCGTCATGTCTTAATTACAAAATACGTTTCAAAAACACACATATAAAAATAAATATATGACTTTATGATACATACAGTGTAGATATTTGACGCCTTATATTTCATAGATCTATACGTCCAGAAGTTATGTCAGCAGAATTCCTCCCTCGTGCTTCCCCATCCCAGGGAATGTCAGCTATATTACGACTGTTCCACCAAATACAACACCCTCCCTCCTAATTTTGTGCAGCACATGAGAGAGTGTCCCTTTCCGGATCTTTTTTCATTACAGACTTTGAGGTGTGAGGACTACAGACATGTGACATGTGCAGAGAGAACGGAATATAAAACTGCATGTAAGTATAATGATGTACATTATCTAAAAGTTTAATAGTAATCAAAACAGCAATTTTGATTACTGAGTATTTGACAAAGTCTTGCGTGAGACATGTGCTTACATATTTAATTATATTAAGTAAAAGAGCAGACGGAAATCAGAGGCCGAAAACTGAATGTGAATACAAAAAGAAATACATGTAATATTTAATAGCCTTACATGGGACACAATCATTGTCATATTCTTTAAAGTAAAGTCGCGGTATATAATACCTAAGCGATTGTTTTACATGAGAAACAATGTATTTTGAGAGTAAAATATGAAATCTGGTAGATACATTATATTTTTTGTAGCAGTAGACGCAGTGTACATGATTCCTTTTCTCAAGTTCTACAGAGTTATCAACGATTTGTTTTTCAATTTATTCCATGTAGGTAAATATCGTGCAAATCAACTCAACGTCTATCACGTGATGTGTGTAGTACAGGATGTTGAAGCACAGGAAACAATTTCTCCAGGAATTCTGGGAAAATCTCTGGACTCCCCACAGGGGAACAAGGATATGAAGGACAACGCGTTTATAAATCCTAACTCGCTAGTTAACTCTCGGCTATCATTAGATGCACTTAAGAAAGATTTATGCAGCAATTGAGTGTCTTGATTTTATTATGATTTTTAAATCGATTTTATTTCATGTACGTCATGATAAATCACGCATCCTTAAATCGATGACTTGAATGAAACCAGGGCTTAATTATAGCTTTTTGAAGTAGAGATTTTTAGGTACTTTTATGTTTGATCATTTAAATCCCACTTAAAGATGTATGTATGTGTATACCTGCATTTGATTTAGTGAATCATGATATTCTTCTAGAGAAATTAACCCATTACAAATTTGACCAAACAGCTATAAAGTGGTTTAAATCATATCTTTACGATAGGACCCAGTGTGTTAAATTTGGATCATGTGTCTCCAATATTCTACCCGTCACAGCAGGAGTGCCACAAGGGTCAATTTTGGGCCCACTTTTATTTTTATTGTACATAAATGACCTTCCATTACATGTAAACAATTCAAATATTGATATGTTTGCTGATGATGTAACTCTGTATTCTAATAATAATAATGCAAGATGTTTAGAAAATACACTAAATTCAGATCTTTGTGAGATTGAGAAATGGTGTGCTCAAAATCAAATGGTTTTAAATGTAGATAAAACAAAATGTATGTTAATGGGAACACAGCAAAGAAAATCAAAATTAGATAATCCAAATTTACAACTTTATGCCTCAGACAAAACAATTGAAATGGTTGAAACTTAAAAAATTCTTGGTGTACATATTGATGATAAGATACAATATGCAAATCATATTGATTCGGTTTGTAAAACGATAAATTATAAGTTATTTACTCTTCGAAAGATTAAGAAATTTCTCCCTCTACATACCAGAAAACTATATTACAATGCTTATATTTTACCATCTATTAACTATTGTTTGACTATCTGGGGTAATGCCCCCAAGCAGGACATGGACAGACTATTTAAATTACAGAAAAGGGCAGCAAGGATTATTCTTGACGCAAGTTCAGATTCTTCTTCTAAACCACTGTTTGAGAAACTTGGATGGTTAACAGTTTACGAGCTAGTTGATCTATACAAATACATATTATTATACAAAATTTTCAGTGGAATGACTCCCGAATATCTTTGTAATTTATTTGATTTTCATTCTTCTACTTCTTATAATCTTCGATCTGAAAGTAATTATGATCTAAGATTGCCGAAATTTCGTACAAACTTATTCAAGACATCTTTTCAGTATTCAGGTGTACATCTATGGAATAAACTTCCCCAACACATTAGACTCTCTCAATCTCTACGAACATTTAAGCGTTATATAGAAAATTACATCATCAGCTGTCGCACAATTATCTAAGGACAATAAGGTTTCGATATTATATATTGTATTATGATTGTTAATTAACTATACATGGACACTATATTCATAATCTTATGATTGTAATTCCTTAAACATATTACTATTATATATGATGAATTGTATTCTGTATATTTTTTGTATTTGATATATATAGAAGGCCCTGGGGAAGAATAGTGCATGCACTAACCAGGTTACCTTCTTTAAATAAAGTATTTATTATTATTTATTATTATTATAACTACATTAATTTCAGAAATATGCGTTTAATGTACGTCTTGTATTTTGTTATTAGAAGTGTGCCAGAATTTTAATTGATACAAGAAAATTAAAGCATCTCAAAATCGTCAAATGTATATGTGTTGTTTTTTTTTTCGATTCAGCATTAAGCCTTTTGAACAAATAGATAATTGCAGAAGGTTATAATTAAGATGAATCTTCTATAGGTGAAATCATTCTACTCAAACTTTGGTTGTATTTTTCCATTCAAGAAAACCATTTATCTAGAGAAGATATACATAACTCAAGACGTGTTTTTCAATCTTTTAATAATAGAAAACGATAAAAATAATGATACACTTTACATAAAATATTTATACATATTTAAGGTCAACATATATATTTTTCTTCATAATGACCACAAAATGACGATTCAAGGTCAACGAACAAATAAGTACTTAAGGATATTTCACAATGGGCGCGTTTAATTAAATGCCAAAATCGTCATCAGAGGATTAGAACGTACAAGTATCTACGTGTTAAAATCCTGATAGGAGAATCAATTAACTTACTATACAGTATAGAAACAAGTCCTTGGTGTTATTAAATCATTCCACTTGAGATTAGCATTTACTTTCAACTCCATTGTCGCAAACAAAAAGGATTTATTAAATTCTGTATTCTGACAGGTGGAAAACCCAAATATTGTTTTCTGACATGTTAAATAAGTAATGTCACAAAATATATTTTCAATTCTTATACAGCACAAGTATAAGGAAAAAAT